GGGGGGGGGGGTGGGGGGGGGGAGAGAGAACAAATTTTCAAAACAATCATCTTTGAGAAAAAAATTCCGAAACTTCACGGGAGTTGAAAACTCCCGTGAAGTTTAGTAAAACTTATTAAACTTCACGGGAGTTAAAATTTTGAATTATGAAACTTCACGGGAGTTCAGCTTTCGGATTTTTTTTTCCAGAAACCGATCTGGTTTTAGCGCTGAGGTTGAAACCAGGTCGGTTTCTGAAAATAAGTTGGAAATGAATCTTTTTTTGCGATTATTATTGTAAACGGGATTGTTTTGAAAATTTGTCCCCGGAAAACAAAGGTGCGGAAACAAAAACTAGCAGAGCATTATGTTGGTTCTGAGCGTATCGCAGGACTGTCTACTGCACACAATAAGGAACATTAATGTCCGCATCTTTAAAGTTTTACTTTCATTCCAATTTTCCCAAGTAGAGTGCATATATATACGCAATGCATCTGATAGGAAAACGTGAAAAGATTAAGAAGATTTTTGATCCTTGCTTATGCAATCAATTTCCTACAAATCAACTTTTCATATCTCTATTGGCGAGCACTATCCAGCGGGGTCTTCGTTTTAAAAAACGTCAAATTTAATTTAGTTACATTGTGTTAAAAACCAGAAGATTTGGTAAATCCTGGCGTGTATTCCCCCGTTACGCTTAGGCTCTCTTTGACAAATTGTACAAAACTGACTTGGTTCTAACCCAGATTTAAGTTAAAAAAATCCTAGCCAGCTCCATCCCAGTTATTATAGCTATATAAGTAAAATTCACTCCCTAGTAGTCTCTAAATAGTGGGGAAGTGAGACTCAATTAGCATTGTACGCTTATGATGAAGGGGCTGTCTGGTTTGTTTCCAGAAAGAGAGGCACTAGAAAATTAAAATCTCATGTGTGCCTTGTGCACTGTAGCAAAAGAAATGACGTGGTTGGGAGTATGCCCCTATCGTTATTTTTCTAGAAAATGAATTCCAAGAAAATAAACACCGCAGTCAGTTTTTTACTCGCTTTCAGTCCATCTTCAAGCTCTCGGAAATAATTTTGTGGATTTTTTAAGGACAAGTGGCTTGTTTTTTAGACGAGTTTTTCTCACCAAAAAGCCCCTCAAGAGAACAAAAATTTTGTGTCAACTTTGTCTAACTGCCTGCTCTCTTCTCAAAATTCCGTCATATTCCTGGTTTCACCGTCTATAATAAATTCGTACACAACCCAAAATCATTTGAATCCCAACAAATGAATCGCTTAACTTTAAAATAAACCAATGTAAATTAACAGAATGATGATTCAAATATTCATCAATTAGCAAAATAATGGTATATTCAAATATTCATCATTTTGAATTCAAAATAATAAATTCGTAAACAACCCAAA